TGCCCACGAGGAAATAATATGAGAAACATTTTCACTCATTTGTGGATACGTCATGAAAATCGCAACATCAAGTAGCGTTGGATTAACACGCAGCATATTATACTTCCCTGGTGCTTACACAGAATACCGGCCATATTGCCCACGAGGGAATATTATGAGAAACATTTTCACTCATTTGTGGATACCTCATGAAAATCGCAACATCAAGTAGAGATGGATTAACACGCAGCAGATTTTATTTCCCTGGTGATTATATGACACAGAATACCGGCCATATTGCCCACGGGGGAATATTATGAGAAACAATTTCACTCAGTTGTGGATACTTCATGAACATTGCAACATCAAGTAGCGATGGATTAACACGCAGCATATTATATTACCCTGGCGATAAGATGACACAGACTACAGGCCATATTTCCCACGAGCGAATATTATGAGAAACATTTACACTCATTTGTGGATACGTCATGAAAAACGCAACATCAAGTAGTGATGGATTAACACGCAGCATAGTTCATTTCCCTGGAGATTATATAACACAGTACAGGCCATATTGCCCACGAGGGAATATTATGAGAAACACTTTCACTCATATGTCGACACGTCATGAAAAACGCGCAACATCAAGTAGCGATGGATTAACACGCAGCATATTTTATTTCCCTGGTGATTTTTTGACAATACAGACCATATTGCCCACGAGGGAAAAATATAAGAAACATTTCCAATTATATTTGGATACGTCATGAAAATCGCAACATCAAGTAGCGATGGATTAACGCGCGGCATATTTTATTTCCCTGGTGATTATATGACACAGAATACAGGCCATATTGCCCACGAGGGAAAATTATGAGAAACATTTTCACTCATTTGTGGATACTTCATGAAAATTGCAACATCAAGTAGCGATGGATTAACACGCAAAATATTATATTTCCCTGGTGATTTTATGACACAGAAAACAGGCCATGTTTCCCACGAGGGAATATTATGAGAAACATTTTCACTCATTTGTGGATACCTCATGAAAATCGCAACATCAAGTAGAGATGGATTCAGACGCAGCAGATTTTATTTCCCTGGTGATTATATGACACAGAATACCGGCCATATTGCCCACGAGGAAATAATATGCGAAACATTTTCACTCATTTGTGGATACTTCATGAAAATTGCAACATCAAGTAGCGATGGATTAACACGCAAAATTTTATATTTCCCTGGTGATTTTATGACACAGAAAACAGGCCATGTTTCCCACGAGGGAATATTATGAGAAACATTTTCACTCATTTGTGGATACTTCATGAAAATTGCAACATCAAGTAGCGATGGATTAGCACGCAGCATATTTCATTTCCCTGGTGATTTTTTGACAATACAGACCATATTGCCCACGAGGGAAAAATATAAGAAACATTTCCAATTATATTTGGATACGTCATGAAAATCGCAACATCAAGTAGCGATGGATTAACGCGCGGCATATTTTATTTCCCTGGTGATTATATGACACAGAATACAGGCCATATTGCCCACGAGGGAAAATTATGAGAAACATTTTCACTCATTTGTGGATACTTCATGAAAATTGCAACATCAAGTAGCGATGGATTAACACGCAAAATATTATATTTCCCTGGTGATTTTATGACACAGAAAACAGGCCATGTTTCCCACGAGGGAATATTATGAGAAACATTTTCACTCATTTGTGGATACCTCATGAAAATCGCAACATCAAGTAGAGATGGATTCAGACGCAGCAGATTTTATTTCCCTGGTGATTATATGACACAGAATACCGGCCATATTGCCCACGAGGAAATAATATGCGAAACATTTTCACTCATTTGTGGATACGTCATGAAAAACGCAACCGCAACATCAAGTAGTGATGGATTAACACGCAGCATAGTTCATTTCCCTGGAGATTATATAACACAATACAGGCCATATTGCCCACGAGGGAATATTATGAGAAACACTTTCACTCATATGTCGATACGTCATGAAAAACGCGCAACATCAAGTAGCGATGGATTAACACGCAGCATATTTTATTTCCCTGGTAATTTTTTGACAATACAGACCATATTGCCCACGAGGGAAAAACATAAGAAACATTTTCAATTATATTTGGATACGTCATGAAAATCGCAACATCAAGTAGCGATGGATTAACGCGCAGCATATTTTATTTCCCTGGTGATTATATGACACAGAATACAGGCCATATTGCCCACGAGGGAAAATTATGAGAAACATTTTCACTCATTTGTGGATACCTCATGAAAATCGCAACATCAAGTAGAGATGGATTCAGACGCAGCAGATTTTATTTCCCTGGTGATAATATGACACAGAATACCGGCCATATTGCCCACGAGGAAATAATATGAGAAACATTTTCACTCATTTGTGGATACGTCATGAAAATCGCAACATCAAGTAGCGTTGGATTAACACGCAGCATATTATACTTCCCTGGTGCTTACACAGAATACCGGCCATATTGCCCACGAGGGGATATTATGAGAAACATTTTCACTCATTTGTGGATACCTCATGAAAATCGCAACATCAAGTAGAGATGGATTAACACGCAGCAGATTTTATTTCCCTGGTGATTATATGACACAGAATACCGGCCATATTGCCCACGGGGGAATATTATGAGAAACAATTTCACTCAGTTGTGGATACTTCATGAACATTGCAACATCAAGTAGCGATGGATTAACACGCAGCATATTATATTACCCAGGCGATAAGATGACACAAACTACAGGCCATATTTCCCACGAGCGAATATTATGAGAAACATTTACACTCATTTGTGGATACGTCATGAAAAACGCAACATCAAGTAGTGATGGATTAACACGCAGCATAGTTCATTTCCCTGGAGATTATATAACACAATACAGGCCATATTGCCCACGAGGGAATATTATGAGAAACACTTTCACTCATATGTCGATACGTCATGAAAAACGCGCAACATCAAGTAGCGATGGATTAACACGCAGCATATTTTATTTCCCTGGTGATTTTTTGACAATACAGACCATATTGCCCACGAGGGAAAAATATAAGAAACATTTCCAATTATAGTTGGATACGTCATGAAAATCGCAACATCAAGTAGCAATGGATTAACGCGCGGCATATTTTATTTCCCTGGTGATTATATGACACAGAATACAGGCCATATTGCCCACGAGGGAAAATTATGAGAAACATTTTCACTCATTTGTGGATACTTCATGAAAATTGCAACATCAAGTAGCGATGGATTAACACGCAAAATATTATATTTCCCTGGTGATTTTATGACACAGAAAACAGGCCATGTTTCCCACGAGGGAATATTATGAGAAACATTTTCACTCATTTGTGGATACCTCATGAAAATCGCAACATCAAGTAGAGATGGATTCAGACGCAGCAGGTTTTATTTCCCTGCTGATTATATGACACAGAATACCGGCCATTTTGCCCACGAGGAAATAATATGCGAAACATTTTCACTCATTTGTGGATACTTCATGAAAATTGCAACATCAAGTAGCGATGGATTAACACGCAAAATATTATATTTCCCTGGTGATTTTATGACACAGAAATCAGGCCAAGTTTCCCACGAGGGAATATTATGAGAAACATTTTCACTCATTTGTGGATACTTCATGAAAATTGCAACATCAAGTAGCGATGGATTAGCACGCAGCATATTTCATTTCCCTGGTGATTATTTGACCCAATACAGGCCATATTGCCCACGAGGGAATATTATGAGAAACATTTTCACTCATATGTGGATACGTCACAAAAAACGCGCAACATCAAATAGCGATGGATTTACACGCAACATATTTTTTCCCTGGTGATTATATGACACATTACAGACCATATTGCCCACGAGGGAAAAAAATGGGAAACATTTTCACTCATATGTGGATACGTCATGAAAATCGCAACATCAAGTAGCGATGGATTAACGCGCAGCATATTTCATTTCCCTGGTGATTATATGACACAGAATACAGGCCATATTGCCCACGAGGGAAAATTATGAGAAAATTTTTCACTCCTTTGTGGATACGTCATGAAAATCGCAACATCAAGTAGAGATGGATTAACGCGCATCAGATTTTATTTCCCTGGTGATTGTAACACAGATTACTGGCCATATTGCCCACGAGGGAATATTATGAGAAACATTTTCACTCATATGTTAAAAAATATGCAAAAATAATACGTTGAAAAAGCTTAAACATGGCGAGATGGTGAAGCCCGAATTTAAACATATAATAGATAGATAATAGATTCCACTTTCGAAACTAGAAATCTTTCACGTTTTTTCGCGCCACTTCCACGTTCGTTTTTGGAGAGTGCCATATACGTGACTTTCAGCAGAAGAATTTCAATTAAACTCAAAAAGTGCATATAAAACTAAGTGCATTCATAAAAGCATTAATATGTAAGAATGCACAACTGTGGTTATAAGAACATTTTAAGATTTTTTTTCTGAAAAAAAAAAACAAATCATCAAGATCAATATTAGAGTCTTCACTACATTAATTACTCTTAAAAAGAACACTGAAGACACACGAGTTGAATACAGGCGAAAGAGAGAAAGCGATAGTGCGTGTGATGTAATGAAACACTCACGAGCTTTTTGCCAGTTTAATTGATGTGTGCAGACCAATCAAATTATGGCGCCCAATTCTTCAAGACTTTCAACACGTTCAATATTGCAATTTTTACCGTAATTTTAAGCAATATTTGCGTTTATTTCGCTCTTGCCGAGGCTACAATAATTTTTCGTGAAAGTTTAAATCATTAATCAATGGTATCAAAAAAATGTTTCGGTTTAATTTTTTCTATAATAACATCAATTCAACTCATAAAAAATCAACGAAACAAATTCTGCTCAGATTTCAGCTGTTTGGATTGTTTTGATTCAAAGTCTTCGTTCTTTCTTTTACTTTTCGAGGCTGAACTAGTGGATGAATTTGTTTTCGATTCCGACTGATTAGCAGAGCGTTGTTTGTTGCGATACTCGGGGAACGTGGACATCATGGAGGGGTCCGAGGGAAGAGGGTGTTCTCTGAAATAGGAACTCATCAGGGCATCTTCAGCACTTGATCTTCTGTCTGGATTGTACATGAGTAAAGAATTCATCAGGAACAGACCACTCTCCGAAACCCAGGAGAACTAAAAAACATCCCAACGCTACTTCAGTTCCCAGTACTGCTTCAAAAAAAATTAAAAATTATGGATTTCACCTTCTGTTTCAGGTTGTTATAAGGCTGTCTTTTCAACGTCACTTTTTTGATCACCGGTAACTCGTCGAAACTTGGCCAGATCTTAGAAGATGGTGTTCCTTAAACAACAGCAAGTGTTTTTAACATGCAAATGAATCTGAAGTAAGCCTATATTCAAAAACAGCTATAGACTATATATAGAACAACAGACCTCAAAAAATTCAGTTTTCATCCTACTACTTTTGTGCTAAATGATGCTGAATAAGCCGAAAAGCAGGTTCGAAAGACATACGCCATCTAACACACGTTTCATCTTCTTCCCATAAGTACATCCTTAAATCATACCTAACAAGTTAACAATAAGATCAATCTGTTGCAACTCCGTCTTTCCCGGCAGCAGAGGTTTATGCGACAACAACTCCCCCAAAATACACCCAGCACTCCACATGTCAATTGCAGTTGTATGCTGGCTAGATCCAAAAAGCAACTCTGGACTTCTGTACCAAAGTGTCACCACTTTCGGGGTGAGTTTTGGAAGTGGGACTGAAAATGAGCGAGCCAGACCGAAGTCTGCAATCTTCAGCACTCCGCGGTCAGTCAATAGGAGATTGGACACTTTCAGGTCGCGATGAACTATGAATGAAGTGTGAAGATGTGCCAGTCCTTTAAACACCTAAGAAATATCGTTCCTTGACGAGCAATACTGAATAACCACAACTACAAGATTACAAACATCGGCTTATGTATATGATTTAGAAAGAACAAATTTTAGAACTATCACAAAAACCTTCAATAAGCTGTTTAAAACATAGCCAACAGACAGTTGGAAAAGAGTCATGAACACAAAGGAACAAGAAAAAATACTGACTTCTTTTTTGAAATAACTTCAACTTTCGAATGTCAAAGATAAAATTAGATCGCCTAAAAGCTCTTTGAATTTCAAGAAAAAATTATGATTGACACTTTTTCATGAAAAAAAAACTATTTGAGCAAACTGGATCAATAGGCAAAACTTTTATTCCGCTGGGAAACTTGATAAATAAATTCCACTTTCGAAACTAGAGGTTGATCACATTTTTCGTGCCTTTTCTCCTTTTGTTGTTCGATTGTGGAGTTTGCCTTCCATTTAACAAAAGAAATGAAGTGAACTTAAAACACATAGCCGACTGACAGTTGGAAAAGAGTAATGAACGCACGGAAAATGAAAAAAAAAACTAACTTGATTTTTTCAAAACCTTCAGATTTTGAATTTCTATGAAAAAATAGATGCCATAAAGCTGTCTAAATTTGTAGAAGAATTTATGGTGTACTCTTTTTTTGTTAATATCAACTCAATTTGAGAAAACTGGATCAAAGGTAAAACTTTTATTTCGCTGGGAAATCTGATAATTAATTTCTATTTTCGAAATTAGAAGTCGATCACGTTTTTCGCGACGTTTACTCTTTTGCTGTTCAATTGTGGAATTTGCCTTCCTTTTATCAATGAAATGCACTGAATTTAAAAAGTAATCACAAGTCAAACCGCGAAAAATCAAAATCGAGCGTGAACAAGTTTTACGACTTATTCCTGAAAAAATATATTTAAAAAAATAATCGCCAAGACCTATAGAACGTTCATTACTCTTAAAAAAACACATCAAATTTTAGTATTTCCCAAACTATGACTCGTTATTAACTCATACGCTGTGTTAGCAGAAAATAATAGTTTCAAGATGTTTTTAGTTCAATGATTTCTAATTTGTTTTGCGCCATTCCAGATCAATGTCAAACACGGACTCAAAATTTTACTATCAATTTCGTAATAGGACAATAACAATGCTATGGATTTCGTCGTGTTCTATTAGAGCTTTTAAACCACAATAAAGGTGATGCATGAAATCTTTATTTTGACATACCTGTAACATCAGACACTTGACGTGTGGTTCTGAGAATGGACTAGGCATATTGTCCAAGAGACTGGCCAAATCCTGAGCACAGTACTCCATGACCAGAAACAGACTGGTCAACTTCCTCCCCACAACCACCTCGTGTAGCTTAACAATATTCGGGTGGTGTGCAATTGCCATGAGAAGAGAGATTTCTCTCAGTCCACTTATTGGCATTCCTCCTGATAATCAACATCGACATTCATGATACAAATTAATGCTTCTTTCAAAAACACCATCCGATTCCTGTGGAACTTTTGGTGTTCAAGTGAATTGCCGCTCGGAGTGCTTTGTGAGGATGGGGACAATATTGACGTAAATACGTGGTCAGAAAATAAATTTCACAACGAAAACGAAAAAAACTGTAAAACATCGAAACCACTAAATTTCTCCTCAGTTCTACTCCAGCAAGACGTTAGAGACAAAATAAACGTTCACTAGCTAGCTCAGAACTATTTCGATTGCCGATCCATAAATAAAAAGAGTTAATCAGTTTCTAACCTAGGCACAATGAGCCAATGTCAAAAACTCCATCAGAACTACTATCTAGCTTTTAGTTTAACCTAGGCATAATTATCTCAAGGGTTGAATAATCCAATCACGCTTACCTGTTTGCTTCTCCAACTCCATCCTCACTTTCTTCAGAGCCACAATCTCTCCACGCCTACTGTCTCTGGCCCTGTACACTATCCCATAGGTCCCCTCCCCCACCCTATTCAACTTCTCAAACTCGTTCACGTCACGACAAGCCCCATAGCGAGAAGATGCTGGTAACTTACGCACTTGCAAGTCCGATATACCTGTACGGAGAATTGTCAGTGGTTTAAAAAACAGTTCAAATCCAAGTGTTATTTGTGAACCGTTATTTCATCGTTAGAAGAAACTCAGCCTTGCTAGGCGAAAAAAATGTAACGAATCAGATAAAAAATTATATATCCAGTTGCTGAGCAAGCTGCACGGAATGTCCCAAACACAATGATCAAGGCGAATTTTTTGAAATATCTTTTTTTCAATATGGTTTAAAAAATTACAAGAATGAAAATTTATAAAAGCTGCGACACCCTTAAAATCTTAGAACTACATCGAGATTTCAAGCTCTCATTTCAAGAAAAACAAAAAAATCAATCCAACTTTTCTTGACAATAATCGGTTGGGTTGAACTTTTTTGAATCTGAATTAGCTTTTTCCTGCATAAGACCCACAATTATTTTCCCTTTCTTAATAACCAAAAATCGGGCGGAATACACCAGCATACGCCATAGTTCCTTCCTACTTGGTAAAATAATCGGAAACAATTAATTCTCAAAAAAATATTTGAAAAAAATCACATTCTAATGTTAAGCGCTGACAGTTCTACCTGTGTAGAGATAGTGGTCCTCGTCTGACTCAAGGACAGACGAGTCGATACTAGTAGCAGAATTATTCGGATCTAACTGAGTTGTGTCTTTCGATTTGCGAGCCGAAGGAATAAACTTGATACTGCTCAACTCGTCAGATGGTTTAGATGCCGACATAGAAATCGGTGGGGTTGCATTAATTGGAATGTTTAAGTATTCATCGCCTTATCTGAAAACATTTAGCACCACGAGCCCGCCATATGTAGTTCCAAATAAAACCTATAGAATTTAAGTAACTGAATATAACAGATTATTAGAACAAATCAAAGGTTTTCATGACGTAACTACATCCTTGCATTAAAAAGCGAAGCACATGGGCAATAACTTAGCCAACAGAGTGAGCTTCTAAATTAGGCGATGGGAGCTGCTGTTTATCCACGCATGTTTGATAATGGAACCAAGTACAACATTAAATCGATTAATAAATCACAAATATCAAAATGAACACCAGGAAAACATTAAGTTTAGATCGTCAGCTCTTTTGTCGTTACTTGTTATTGGTAAAAAAACTTTTTGAAAAGTCAAATTACACAATCAGAAACTAGAATATGAGCTCTGACTGAAATACTCACATGATCACTTTCTTCCGAGTCTTCATTTTGAAAAGCGGCCGCAGCTGTTCCCACAACCAATCCGTCGTCTTCCTTCTTCACACTAACCCCCTCTTGTGCCTCATTTTTCACAGGTGGGGGTCTGAAGATATTTGTGAAAGCGTGAACAGATGGTTTCTTCTGCTTTAGAATCAGACCATACTTCTTCGGTTCCTCCTTGATTTTCAGCTGCACTTTTGATTTCGAAACTGGTTCGTCATCAAGTTTTTCATCATCTGACATCAATCTGAATTAATTACATTGATTCTGTTTAACATATATTAATGTATGACAGTTACCGAGTTGTTTTGACCACGCTGATTTCCATTATACTTGATAAGTTTAACAATAACGCCAAACCAAGAAGGTACAATGCCCAATTAAAATGTTACGGAAAAAATATAAAACATTTATATAAACAGCTGAGCTTCGCACGACTTTCGATACAAAAATCAAAAGATAATGTCTCCAAAGAAAAACAGAAAAACTGAAATGGATAGGAAAATTTTTATGGCAATTGCTATAAAAGCAATGACCTAAAACATAAGAAAGACTCGTCCTCCACAAACTCCATTAATTTATTTTTCATAACCAATAGATGAAAATGCTCAGAAAAAAATGTTGGTAGAAAAAATCGAGATCCAAAAGTTCCTAAACGTACTCATAAACTTAGCGTAAAACCTTGCAACCAAACAACCTGTATATCCTGCAGGAACAATTGGCCATAAACAACAACAGGAAAACTGCTTTAAGCTAAGATAAGAAATAAAAACAAAAAACACAAGAAAATGAATGCTCAAGTTTCAAACAACTTCCACGAAAAAAACTTGCAGAAAATCTGAAAAAACTGAAGCGTAATATTAAAACCCAATTTTATTATATATATCAAACATGAAATTGATACGCAAAATTACAAGATCCGAATCAGAACAAAAAAAATAGAAAATAATAAAAAAGACAAAATTGCCCGCAAGGGAAATTAAAAACAAGAAAAATCATTTTTTTCAAGAACTCCCGCTGGAAAATTGTCATATATCTTCCTAGACAAAACAGTCAAGTCAAAAGTAAATCATGAAAATGTTAGAAACTTTGTTGAAAAAACTTGACATGAAAACAATACGCTATGCAATCAACTTAAATCGATTCAAAATATATTAAATTTGTTCAAAAACTAGGAAATCATGAACTAAATTTACACTCTAGAAAAGTAAGGTAAAATGTACGAAAAACAACCAAAAACTTGGGAGAAAATCATTAAGCCGACAAGAAAGTCATGATTTATATCTGAAATTGTGCGATCCAGAGTTAGAAAAAAATGTATATACTTCCATTGAAACGACTCAAAATTAGGTCAGTAAGCCGATAAAACATAAGCCGAAATCAATGGGCAGAATAAATTTTATAAAAGAATAAAACAAGAAAAAAAACATACGAAGTAAATATTATTAAAATTACAAACAGCATAAGTAATTCAAAACACTGAAAGCAACTACAAAGTGAACTGCACAGCAAAAAAAACTGTACGATGTGGCATGTTTTAAATTGCCACATCGTACAGTTTTTTCCACATCGTACAGCCACAAATTGCCACATCGTACAGTTTTTGGCATACAGCCAAAAAAACATAAATTTTAAATTTTGCTGTTTGCAAGGAAAAAATTTCTGTCAGATACTAACTCAGAAACTTTTCCGTCCCAAGCATCGTTGTTACATCCAGACCAAGAGTGCCTGAGACGCAGAGAAATTTTTAATTTAATATGAATTGAACCTAAATTAACCATTTCAACTTTCAAACATTCTGTGAACAGAGTTATTTACGGGAAAAAAGTCGGGTGCCCGATTGCAAAAGCCTTGCTCATTGCAAGAGAAAGAGGTCTTCAATACATTCAAAAAATCTCACTAATGTAAAATTCTGTGCAAGTATGTTCAGTTATCTCGGCGAAAAAAAATATGACCAACAGATAGTTGAAAAAATGTTAAAGAAGGAGACCTAAAATATTGACCTAAAACATTGAACATTTTTCAACTTTCGAATGTAGAAAAACAAAGTCAATCACTTTAAAACCTTTGAAACTTTAAGAAATTTCCATGATTAGCACTTTTTTCTTACAATTATACCTTAAGAGACAACTGGATCAACAAAAGGTAATTTTTTATTCAGCTGGAAATTCAGAAAACTAATTTCGAAATTAGAAATCAATCATGTTTCTTGTGACCTTTACATTTTTAGCGCTCAGTAGTGGAGTTTGCATTCCTTTTAAGAAAATAGAACTGAACTTAAAAATAAACTAAAATTGAAACAGCAAAAAGTAAATTGAGCGAGAACCAAGTTTAAAGCATTTTTTTGACAAAAAACAGCAAAAAATCATCATGATCTAAACATATGAAAATCACTGCGCTCTTTGAATATTGACAACTTGAACATTAGTTCATATTTTTATTATTTTACTGCTCTTTGTACTGACAGCTTAATCAAAATGGAAAATAACAAATCGAAAAAAAATGACTCGGCAGCTCGAATCACAACTGAAAAGTCATCAGTTATAATATTCTAAACTATTTGACGTTGTGGCACTTGAACTTACCGGGTGGATTCAAATTTCGGTGGCCGGAAGCAATGCTCCCATTCAACAAGGCATTAATTGAAGATCCATTCAAACTGCGAAAAAAAACTTCTATCATTTCCAAAAACTTTCAAATAGAATGGAAATGAATGATTTAAAGATAGCTGTTTCAGAGTTATCGGCACACAAATTTTCCCTTTAAAAAACTATTTAAAATTTTCAGATCGCAGCATACAAACTCGATATGATCAGAACCAAAGATCCGATATTATTGCAAAAAAACCGCAAGAAAAGCTCTTTTTATCTCACTAAAATCAGTCTCTGTATAGTTATACTTTGAAAAGCCGACTTTCGTTTGCAGAATAATTAAAAGCTACGATTAAGATCTGCTCTTTAAATCAACTGCTCGTTAAACTATTTTCGCTTGAGCTGGCACAGTTCGTCATTTAAACTTTGTCCACCTCCCATAAAACTTCTCAAAATCAAGAATGAGATTTTTCCGTTTCCTGCTATAACGAGATAAATATGCGAGATGAAAGCTATACGAGATACAAGCTCTTTTCGAGTTCCCAATTTTAAGTTTTTTCTGGAATTAGATTTACCAAGTCTATTTAAACTGACTTTTGATGTTCTGAACTTAAATGAACCGTATCAGCGTGATCAGATTCATATTTTTCGTTCATTCAAATTACCGTGTGAACAAATTTTAAGAGGTTTTATAATGCAATTTTACATGTTTTGTGGTGTTGTGGTAACTGGCCAAAAAATCTTTTTTTTTTCATTTTTATTAGAGCGCGGCGGCCCTCTAGGGGAGAGAAGTGTCATCCATTTCTCCGCAGCTGTTCCCTCCTCGAAAAGGCACATGCCATAAGAAATCCCCCGACTAGGACCGAAAAAGGGTTCCAACCCACGATACTCTTTAAAATAACTCCTCATCAACACGTCACCTGAGTGACAGAAATTGCAGTTTATCAAAAAATGTCAACGCTAGATTTATGTCATAACATCAATCCATGAACTCAATGGGACATCTGAACAAGCTAGGTCTCCTCCATGACATCATTATAGCCAAAAGAATTGCAGACAATAAAAAAAACATTCGAATCTGAATGTGAAAATCTGTATGCAAGGCTAGAACCAAGTTTTCTCTCGCGGTGTAGTAAAAAAATGTTTTTTTTTCTTTTGATGTTTTTCAATAATCAACAAATTTACAAAAACAAAAATCATCTCTCAGATCAACTAGCACGTCTAGTCACGATATCATTTCAATCTACAATATCAAAACCTCTTCGTAACCATTTTTGGAACAACATTAACTGAGCTTTTCTCGCTCGTTACTTCCTCGGTCGAATAACTTGTCGTCTGGTCACTTGTAGTTGACGACGAAGTAACAGACGTAACATCTTCTGTTGATGTCGAACTGACAGCCACAGTAGTCGAAGACGATGTCGTCGTGTCGAACCAACTAGACTCCGTCACTGTCGTGGCGTCCAAACTGATTCCGACACCTGTCACAGAGTCACTTGTCGAATCTGTAGTTGTACTCGAATAGACACTACTCGTATTCGATGTATAGGTATCGTAGTATGTGCTACTGTACGTGGATGTATAACTTGGAACAAATGTAGACCCGAGGCTTCTACCGGTAGTGTAAGTTGCGTTTCCCGAGGACGACGATGAAGAAGATTGCACTGTTAAAGTGTGCACCGTAGTCGAGCAGCCTTCATCTTCAGGCATCGCAGCTACTCCTGTTCAACGACGCCTCTTTATAACTTAATTGTTTCTTGTAAACATCAGCAAACACTCAGAAGATGTTTTCAGAAATTTTCATTACAGCTCAAATTCATATACAACTCAAATTCCAACGACGTTACTTTTAAACACCTGACTTTAGGAGAAAAAATACCTGCATTCAAAATTCCTTCCCAAATTAATACATTTGGTTGGAGCAAAAAAAAATCTTTCAATTTACAATTAACAGGGCAAAAAATTAGGAGCAAAATTAGTTGCTTTTAAATGATTAAGATCATGATGATTATTCGTTTTTTCGATTTCAAAAATAGCTAACAAGGGGCGTCACTGTTCCTGATCGTTTTGAGGAAGTTTCCTGTGAGGTTGAATTATCCGAGATAGTGATCTCGATCTCCGCTTCTTCCGAAATCTCTTCCGGCGACTTATGCACCAACTGCATATCCTTGAAGGTCGACTCCAGAAAACTCTTTCCATGTCTCGGCCTCTTTAGCATTAACACTGCTATGTATCCTCTACCTCTTGGATCTGTCCAGAGCAATTCCGGATTTTCAACAAGCTTTTCATTTACCTATGAAACTTCAAGCTTGTCAAGTATTTCAAGTCAAGTCATCCAGCAATTAACAAAATAATTTAGAAACTAGCAATTTGTGCAGGTTTCTCTTTCAGTTAACAGGCTTCTCTTTCAGTCCATTTTAATTGACCTATTTTTACATTTCTTCAAAGATTTAATTTAAGACCGCATGTCCGCAAAGGGGACACGAAAGACCATCATACGGACTCTTCAGAAGAACTTAAAAAAATCAACCGTAAAAAAACGTTAGAAAAAATCTCCAGCAGTATTTCAGCACGCTTGTTTGAAATGAATATTTTTTGCGGAATAAATTTTCAAAATTAATACATGCTTGGGAAGGACATTCTATGGTAGGTCACTTAGGGGGGGGGGGACTGACGGTTGATCCAATTTTTGTTTTCGTCGCACTAACCTCAATAACCGACCCAGATAGAGAGCACATAATTGGGTGCAGTGTCTCTCCGATTGTCACTTCGCACAATAACTCGTCTTTTCCGACCACTTTGGCTCCCTTCTTCCCTTTTCCAGACACTTTCGGGTTGCTTCGGTCAATCCCATTACTCAATTGGTAAGACACTTTTACTGCACAATCAGCTTCAATAATTCAGACAATTTCCAAAATTTCAGTTTTACAAAAATAAATAAGTAAAACTTTCGCATTTGAGAAAAAAAACATGAAAACTTCAAATTTCGATGAGAACATATCATTAATATTTTAAATTTTGATGAGAAGAGAGCATTTTTATCCAAAAATCCCCAATGTCACGAGAAAATTTTTGAACGTTTATGATAACAATCCATTTTTTTGAAACTGTCTTTACGGTACCATTTCTAACTGTCTCTTTGCATGCTTTCAACACAGGATGCTCGTCTGACAGAGTGACTACACAAATCAACGCGTTGGTATGTTGTAAAAAGAGTAACTTGGTTTTGTCGCAAAAGTAATGAGTGAAATAGCGATCAATGAAATCGATATATTCAGATAACTTCCCAGAAGATGTAACATCTGAAGTTACAGATGGTAAACTAAAACGATTCTGATCAATAGCATTGTCACAAACTGTGCTTCGCTGGTTACTTGTGCCTTCTGAAACTTCCATTTCCTTTAGAGCTTCATCGTCTATTCGAGACACGGCTATTGAGTTCAACTCAATTTGACAAAACGCATCATAACCTGAAATTAAAAAAAAAACTTTCTCCTTCGATATTTGATCGACTTCAGGAGACCAAGGAGATCAGCGCCACATGAAATATTTTACTCTGCACAAAACATCATTTGTTGAGATCAATAATTTCTGAAGTATCAAAATGTTTAACCACTACTAAAAACCTATATATGCACCAATTTGTCTGTTTCATAAATAAAGCCTTGTAATTACCACTTGATGTTCAATGAATTGGTATTCATCTTTGGAACACTTTTGTACTCGGCGAAGAAAAAAGAATTCACATCATCGGCGCATTCAGATTTCTCATTACTCAAATCGACATCAAAAGATGGCTCCATAGTTGGTAGTGACCAGTATCTGGCTGTGACTTCATTTAGCAGTTCTTTATTATTAGCTGCTTCTGACCTCAATTGACCACCGCCATTTAAGCAACCAGAAGGACACGCCATTATCTCCACGTAATCGTACTTCAAATTGTTTTTCTTCAACTTCATAGCAAAGTTTCCCAGGTTTTTGAACCCATACGCAACTGCAAAACGCAATTTGATTTCACCGTCAATGTTCAAGAACAACTCTTTGTGATCTGTGCTTCTCTTGACAACAAAATCCAGGGGCGGATTTTTGACTCCGAAAAGTTGATCAGCCGCGTATTTGAAAACATGCTCTATATAGCCGCCGGCTCCACTTCCTTCATGTGAACGAAAAGTGTATTCACGATTTAATCTGCCCTCTAGAAGGTCAACCAAAGAATCGAATGGTTTCTTTTCAAATGTCGTAAAACTTTGACTGCTTTCAGCCATCATCAAAAAAAGTTCATTGGTCGCCACAACGCAATCAACCTCTTTGATTTCGGTTCCAGGAACTACAAAATCGGATCTGAGCGCTTCTAGTTTCTTATCAAAACAAGGCATTACTGTAAAATGGTACACAAGATCTGCATCCACTTTCAAACTAGATGCCAACTGTCTCTTGATTAAGCTTCCCATCATTTGTTGCGGGGATTTAACTTTCGATATGAACGGTAAAATGAAATCTCCGTGTGTTTTTTCAGCGTAGCAAATCCAACCTGGGCAAGACGAAGTAAAAACAGGAAAGTGCTCTGACTTCCCGCGAAACCTCTCAACGAACTCCTTTCCGCTCTCCAGTAAAGTTAGATTTCGTCCTATATTTGAATCAAAAACATAGTCGACGCCGATCGATTTTAGATAAAAGCTTATCCTTTCAGCTGTCGAGATGAAATCATCGCTGTAAAAAGCAGCCAGTGAGGCAACACTTTGAGGAGAAACAGTGGCAGCAAAAACAGAACCCGTTTTTCTCGTCCTAAAACAATAGCTAGTTGATTCAAAGGAACGATTGCCAATTTTTAATTAGCATAAGCAGGAAACATTTCTTTCAACATTTTGTGTGCCACTTTCTCTTGTATCGCTTTTGTGTTCTTGCAGTTATTAGTCATTATCAGCGTTTTTGTAATCTAGGCGACCCAAGATATCGTAGCATATACATGTTAAACAGACGCTATTACCGCAAACCAAAAATTTGATTTTCAATCAACCTTTATACCCCGAAAAGACCAGTAACGTTCTTATGGCACAGTCAAAGCGGAGCTAGCTAGCGAATAGAAAATGAGACGGAAATGACGAAACGATTAAAAAATTGGTAAAATTGAAAATAATTTCAAAAAACTGTCAAAAAACAGAACCACCGGTATCCAATAGGCATTTAGTATATACCGAGCGGCACTTAAGCCAACAACAAGTGGGTAGAACAAAGCTTTTAAGCGAAAAAAAAGAAAGGAAAACCAAGGAAAATTTTACAACGAAAGCGGATGACTTAATAAATTACAGGAGTGAGCCAAAATCACTTTCATCAACAATAAAAATTGCTGTCAGCGCAATAAAAATCCCCGATGTGGCAACTAAGTCGACAAAGCATAAACAGACGAACAAAAATCCGCCAATTCAATTTTTCCCGATTTTTTTTTCTTTTTCATACAGAAAAAAAAGGTCCTGCCGGGGCTTAAACTCCAAACCTTAGGGTTCAAATGCATTTGCGTTGCCTCTAGGCCAATTGGGAAAACTTTTCGAAGTTGTTGAGGTTCCTAATTGATTATCGCCAGTCATTTAATTACAAGTGAGAAAAGGTGAATATAATTTTGTACTATCAAAATCGAATAAAAACAGCTTCACGATCAAAAGATGCTCTAAACAAAAGCTCAAGACAAAACCCGCGCAAAAAGTACCAATGACAGTGTTTAAAATTAGTCAAATGAAAACTTGATGATAAGTTTTATAATGCTCAATAAAACATCAGATTCTTTCAGAAAGGCGGGATGTCATTTAACAAAATCATATTTTTGAGTTAGCCACAAGGCGTATTTTTTTTTAAAATTTTTTTTACTTCATTATAATGATAAAGTAACCAAACGACATCCCATTCAAAGGTACAAATCATAAGCTTAGCTGAATTTGCGATACAGAAAGCCACTGAATCGTTAAGAAAATGAAAAACCGCCCAAAAACAACACGAAGTTTTCATGTTTGTCTCAACATGAAACTCATTTTGATTGAGGCGGAGCCCAACAGCTACCATTAAGCTAACAGGAAAACTACCGAGAACAATGCAGACAAAACCATGATAAAAGATGATAAAAAATCCAAACATGAGATTTTGTGAAAGCAGTAACAACACAGAAAGTTTTGAATTTTTGTCAAAACTCGATGTGCGGATATTTGAATTGATTATCAACAACAAACTTCAGACATCACGAGAAAAGAGGACGAACATTGGCTCTAAACTACATTCAAACAAAATTATCCAAAAGAAAAAGGCTGGCGAAAAAACTATCATATTTCGTTTTTCTCGCTTTCAGAAAGTTTAGCAGGTATAAAAACGAAACACATAAATTACACTAACCTGCTTACACTTGATTTTCAAATAAAAAAAACGCTTCAGATCGAGAGGAAAACATTAAGTTTACTGGGAACAAATAATTAAAACGAACTTAATCTGCTATTCTGAAAGTTACGATCAAAATATGATTTTACAAATCGAAGGTAATTTCTGATTTTACAACACTTGAGGCTTTCTAAAACCGAGTCTCTTCTTGATACAAGTAAACGTTCTTTAAAAATACATAGACTAGAACGCACTAAAAGACGAATAAAAATTAATTGACGAAATAACTTATTGACAACTATACAAAAAAAATTGCGATTAAACTCTAGACTTCAATTGTTTTTGCCAAA